TACCAGGAATATGTGGCGTACACGACACCAGTCCCAAATCTGAAAAGTGAGGTGGAACAGTTGGCGAGAGTGGGTTCCACCCGGCTTGTTGAGGTAGAACATGGCAGTGTTGTTATCTGACAGCACTTGTACTATTTTGTTCGAGAGCAGCCTTGAAGACTGCGAGAAGTTCCAGGGCATTGATGTGCAGAGCAGCCTCTTGCGGAATCCAGTGGCCATTGGCTGTGAGGTTCAGGCAGTGCGCCCCCCAGCCCGAGAGACTCGCATCTGTGGTGAGTTGGATCGAGGGTTGCAGAGGACCAAAGGGGTGGCCCACGAGCAGGTTGGAACAGAGTGACTACCAAGCAAGTTGCTCTACCAACTCTTGTGTGACCTTCAGTAAATTGGAAGGCGGATCTATAAGCAGATCGAACAAGTTCTCGTACCAGGATTGGAGAGCCCTCATCTTGAGTCTGGCATGTTGGACGACCACCGTGGTAGAGGCCATGAGTCCGAGAAGACACTGGACAAGCAGAGCTTGAACTCTTGTGCCAGGAGTGAAGTGGGGTAGCAAGTGATGGATTTTTAGGATGCGGCTTTCTGGGATGAAGGTGCAGCCTGAGACCGCATCCAAATTGCCTCCTATGTAGGTAACGACTTGGGTAGGCGTCAAGATGGACTTCTCGTGGTTCACCTGCAAACCAAGGTTGGAGAGAAAAGATAAAGTGAAGTCAACCTGTTGAGACAAAGTTTCAGCAGACGCTACCAGCAACCAATCATCTAAGTAGGGGAGACTGTGATGCCTTGCAAATGTAGGTAAGCAGCCACCGGGGCAACACATTTTCTAAACACCCTTGGTGACATAGACAGCCCAAAAGGAAGAGTTTTGAATTCAAAAGTTACGCCGTCTAGAGAAAAACGGAGGAACCGACGGAACTCAGGATGGATACTAATGTGAAAGTAGGCATCCTTTAGATCAGTGACTACAAACCAGTTGCCTTGTATGAGCATCTGAATAGTGGCGTCTAGGGAGACCATTCGGAATTTCCTAGCTGTACAGGAGATACTGAACGAGCTGGAGGAGAAGTGCTGGGAGGTTGAGCTGAAAGACTTCCAGCTGGAGAAGCTAGAACAGTTGGGCTTGACGGCGGTACGAGCTTGGCCGGCAGTTCCATGAGCTTGACCACTGGAAGGATAAGTAGAGAAGTAGTTGGGTGCTTCTTAGATTTCATTGGGCTCGAGGGAGGTCTTGACGCAGCTGCGGAGACTGTTGACCTCGACCCGGTAGAAGCCTTCTTGGGCCTCTGAGGGGAGTGCGGTAAAGATGCCTCAGATAGCGGCGCTCTCGGGGGGTCCATGGCAGGTGAGTCTAAGGATTTTGACCACAGGAAGGCTGTGAGCCTATCCTGCCTGCGTTTAAGTGCAGGCTTTGTGAAAGCCTTGCAATGGGCACACGAGGCTGGTTTGTGGCTCTCCCCCAGGCAAAAAAATGACCGTCTTTTGCTGAAAACTTTGCGTTGCAGTCAATGCAGCGCTTGAAACGCGGCTCCTTTCCCGTTAACGGTACCTCAGTAGACGAAAGAGTAGTCAGTCCAGGCCAAAACTACGAAACTGGGAGGTCAATCCAAAGAGTTTTCTACTTTCTTTTTTGAAACACGAGGGAGAAGCTCCAACCGTGCTGCACACAGTGGTGGCAAGAAACGGAACTGGCATGCTCAGTGCCGGGGTAGTGATGTAATCTCCATGGGAGGTCTCCCGGCACAGAGCTCTTAAAGCTATAGAAGCTTCCGACTTTTCCTGCTCAGCCGCAAAATAACCCATTAGTGTGCATTCACAGAGGACGTGAAGGAGAACCAGCTGTTAAATAGTTTAATTTCACTATTTATCCTCCACACAACTAAATGAGATCTCTCAATACAGTGCTAAATGAGACAAACCATTTCTAACTTAATATAGGCTGCACAGCCCTAGTCCTGCAAGACGTCAAGAGAGCTCCTCAGTGTTTTGGGTTCCCTGCGGGACCCCCATCAGGGGCTAGGTGTTCCTCCCACACAGCCCTGTACTGAGTGGGAGGTGCAGCCAGGGGGTCACCATGACTTGGGGGGTTAGGGGACAGAATGGGGTAGGAGATTCAAGGGCCACTCTAACTCATACCTTGCAGGGGAAATACCATGGTCATGAAAGTGGTTTTCCCAGGGTGAGGCTCATCCATTGCACTTCAGGTGTGCTGATCCCTGTAATTTCCCCAAATATGGGGGAACTCAACTGCATAATTTGTGGTAATGGGGGATTGCATTTGTGCTTTCCCTGGTCTTTCTAGAATCATTTTCATCTCTTTTTCCCTCATCAGGACCTATTGCAAAGGCAGCAAGTCCTGGTGATGTCTTGTATTGCATTCTCCCTCTTTTTCTCCCCAATGGCAAAGGATCAGGGCAAAAGGAGTCACCGTGATCAAGAGCCAGGGGGCTGCTTTGATTCCTTTCACCTTCTTTCTTTGCTGCTGGAGAGAGAAAGAGGGGGAAAGCCGTCTGAGAACCACTGCATTTCCAAAGGCAGTGCAGGTGAGGGGATTGCTTTTCCCCAATATGGTAGATTACAATGCATTCCTATGGAGAACTGCATTTTGCAAGACTGGACGATTTTCACAAGAGTGATTTCCCCCCATTGGAATGCATTAAATAGATTTCAATGCATTCCTATGGGGAACCGTGTTTCGCAATATGATGTTTTCGCAAGACAGCGATTTCTACAGAACAAATTAAAATCATCTTGTGAGGCACCACTGTATTTTATTACACTATTTGGTTCAGAAGTTTTTTCCTGTTTTCCTCCTCTAAAAATTAGGTGCGTCTTAAGATCAGGTGCGTCTTATGGAGTGAAAAATACGGTAATGTCTGAATAGGCCTAATATCCCAGGTTCACATGCCCCACATGAAGAGCGTACAGAGTGGTCACAACTGAGTGAAAAACAATAGCAAGTTCCCAACCAACCTTTCAGGAAAAACAGGAATAGGCAATGGAGCTTTTATTTATTTTGGACAGAAACTCTTAGAATTCCCCCAGGTAGAATCCTGGTGGACACAGCTTAGAAACTGTAGTCTGAAGAGCTTTTTCCACCTTGATGCAGGCCTCTGTAGCCACTGCACCGGCCTTTCAAAAAGGAGTAAACTGCTCTCAGCTGTACCTGGGAGTGCCAAGAGTTAATAGGGGTCTCCAGGGTTCATGGAATGGGTTGTCTCAGAGAACGCTTCTCAATGAACACTTGCCACTCCCAGGCACCATTGGGAGCAGTTTCCTCCTTCCAGAAAAACCCATGTAATGGTGACAGAGGCCTGCATGGAGGTGAGAGAAGCTCCCATTTAAGCTACTGGTTTTGGACTGCAGCTCCCAGGACTCTGCCTAGGGGAATTCCTGGAGAATTCTGGGAGTGACAGTTCAAAAGAAATGAAAGTCCTATTCCTAAATACAAATCAATTGGCAGGAATGTAAGTTAGGCCCATGCTGAAAAGAAGTACTTATTAGTAAACTCAAATAAGAATGAAGAAAACACCACCATTACAAAGCTTAATAGGCTATCCAGAAATAATAAACAGCACAGCAACAGGGTGTATGTTCCTCAACAACATTAAATGCCTTCAGTAGTACCCCTACTATTTTCTAAAGATGAAAATTAAAAATACATTAACATACTCTATAATAATAAAACAATCCTTGTACTTGTTTCAAGTAGCTTCAGACAGAAACAGCACTGTTGTGTTTTATCAAGGTCAACAAGACTAGATTTACAAGTTGCCATTTTGTCCACTTTGGCCTGGTCCCCTGCATGTGTAACCGAAACCAGCTGTAGCAAGGAAGCTTTCCTGTGTACTGCTATACATGTGGGCAAGGCTGAAGCAAGTCATGATGTGTGACATAAGTGGCAGGACGATTAGTGTGGCCCCATTCCCTGTTTAGTACAATGTGCAAGGCAAACTTACCTATGTCTTGACATCATCAGTATTCTGTTGTTTTGCATTCCTGTTACTGCTTGCTGGTTGTGGCGATGGTGCAATGAGCTGTTCTCAGCTGCAGCTGCACCTTCTGGTAAAGTTCAGTTTGGCCCTTCAGAACTTAACATTTGGGCAAGTATCCACTTAGTCTGCTCCTCTCACATAACTAGTTGAACTTCTTGTGAGCTTCAGCAAGGTCACTACCTCATATACTATCACACTATCTCATATATTAAGATCAGTGGTAAAGTCCTGTCCTTTTCAACAGGAAGTTCTTCAGATTGTATAAATGGGAAATCATGTGCGGTGTTGCACATGGCTACTGGCCACAGTGATATAAGCATTCTGTTGTTGTTTTCCTACAATTTTTGAGGTTATGCTGTTAATCCACTTCCTCTGCGGTAATAAATAATACCGTGGACTAATCATCATATCAGTAAAGTTCTCCAGGCCATGGCTCCCCAACCCAGATTCTTAGTTAGTCACTTGTAAGATTTGCAACTCCTAGAAGCACCAATCAGCATGGTCAAGTTAGGTGTTCTGGGAGTTGTAATCCAAAACCTGGGTATCCAGATTTCAGATCCATGGCTACAAGAAGAAAGAAATAATCTCCCCTAAACACCGAAGCAGCTTGTAGACTGAGGAGAGTGTCTCACATGAATATCTGGAAAAGTATTCCTGTACCTGGATATGGCCAGCCCATATGGAAACGACATATCTTTAGACTAGTAAACTGCCATCTAATTCAAATGTGTGGCAAACTGCTGAGTTTAGTCACGTGTACTCTACACATGCTTAGAAGTATTTTCCCCCTTCTGTTATCACAAATTCAGGGGTTGATCTGTAATACTGAAAAGAGATTCTTGACCAAGCACCAATTCAGATTACACAGTGATTTTTGCACTGAAAGGATAAAACAGCTGTTGTAAACTTAAGAGCTCATACTATAGCATTTTAACTAGCTCTAAAAGATCAATCCTTCATGCAGCTGACATGGCAGATTCTGTGTCAGAGAAATACGACCATTTGAAGTTAATTGAAAAAAAAAGGGTTTATTTTGTTTCAGCATACAAAATAACTAAAGTATATTTGTTTTCCAAAAAGGACACCACTTACTGGCTCTTATTTTACCAGAATTTTGTGGAAAACACTCTTTACTTTCAACACACAAATGCAGCTGAAATGTGTTTATTCCATCCTCATTCTCACCAAACTAGATAACTACCATTTTATAAGGATGACTGATGAACTACATGCAAGCCAGAGTTAAGAATCTACTGTAATTGCAGTAATATTCCCTTTACATAATTAACCCCTCCACCCCCACAAATTCTGTACACCAGCTACCATTTTTGTGGCTCAAGGGACACATTTTACTTGGTTTTAATGACAAACGAAACAAAAACAAACTAAGAACAGTGACCTGCCCAATATATTCAAGTTATCCCAAGCTGAGTTCCTTCCAACAACTTAAGAGTTTTTGCCACAAAATTTAGTTAGAAAAGTCAAAATAGACCCCACAAATGCACATTTTGTGTTCGACTGAAATGAAACATGCTGAGTAGAATGTGTGCTATCAAAAAGTGAAAGTTAGCCTTTAGATTTTCATCAATATTTTTCATATAAAAATGTTAACAAAAATGTAAAAAACCTACTCAAACATTCCCCCCCTTTCACACTTGAACATCATCTGCCTGATGTCAAGGTATTTCAGAAACCTCCCACCCCAACAATTGCACATTAATTAACATGTGGACTTAAAAAAGAACATAACGCTTCAAGTATGTTTCATGCCAATCATCTATAAGAGTCATAACATTACTGAAGAAAAGTACACTTGTTCTTTCGAAAGCCTGAGAAAGACTTTCATAGATTATGGTCAAACAATATTTTAATTTAAAAACAAACAAACACACACACAAACAAACACACACACACACACACACACAGAGAGAGAGAGAGTTGAAAAAAGAAAAAGAACACAATTTCTTTGGATTTAAAGAAAACAGTATTAATAATTCCTATTTGATTATGAAGAAATGCTCCTCCTAGGAACCTAGATTTACATAACGTGCAGAACCATGTGCATGAAATAATCAAATGCACACAAGTTTCTGTCTGTGGACTTTGTAGCCAAGAAATGACATTGGTAACATGGTGGCCTCTCTTAACACAGGCTATTTATTCTTAATGCTGACTGATTCTTCAGACTTGGAAATATTTCTTAAGGAACATTTTTAAAAATGAAACCCAAACTTCAATGGATTTTTGAAGGAAATGTCTCTTTCCCACCTCCTTTTGTAAAGGATTTTTAACTTGTTTTATGAAGCCATTTTTGTTTTTAATTGAAAATAAATACTTTGGCAAATCAGGAGACAAATGTTAAATCGATTCATCATTTAGATTAATATATTTGAAAACATAGATATGCCTCCACTTAATAGGGCAGATGATATTTTTTGAAAACAAAAACTCCAGACAGGTGCATATCACTCCTCCAACATAGCAGAGTATTCATGTTCTAAGCAGAATTTGGGTATGCTGCATTTTTGGGACCACAATCCCCACTAGCCATGCTGACAAGGGGATTCTTCAAGTTTTAATCCAAAAGAGTAATTTTTCTAAACTCTGGTTTGAAGGTGGTGCCTGCCAAGGTATGTGTAAATTACCTTTAAAAAAAGAAATCTCATTTAAAAAAAACTTGTTTATATACATGCAAATAGATGCAAAATTGATCTAAATTGATTAATCACTTAAAAGTGATATGATTAACCAACTTCTTTCTTTAAGAGCCCTAGTAAGAAATGAGTATAGGGTACTGAACAAAATTTGAAACTTGGAAACAATTTCCCAACATGTTGTTTAACAGCAGCTTGAACAAGGAATGTTTCATGAGATAGAAAAAGAGCTGAAGCCAGGATCTAAACAGGCCACATAAATAATTAAAGCATCAACTGTTGTGCCTATATGCCTATAAACAAAAGACTGAACTACGCATCTGGGCAGCTGAGTGCTGGAACTCCCAGCAATAAATAGGTCCAAATTAAGGACTTTCTATAAGATATCTGTAAAGAACTGGAATAGTGTTCCTCCTTTTTATGGCAAACGTCTGGAGTGCTTTCAATTTAATAGTTATCTAATACAACATTAAAACAGACACAAAAATGTTTATGGGAAAAAACTGGATTTACGATAGCATTCAGAAACACTTTTTTTCTTTAATAAAAGTTCTACTGATTTATTGACTAAGGCGAGAAAGCAAGTCATGATCCTATTTGGTGCATTTTTTAACATGGTCCATGATCAATACACAATGATTAGAGCCTGGGTGCCCATTCTGCTGCAGCAGACTGGGCATTTTTCCTTAAAAAAAAGAGTAAAGTTCAAAAAGAGAGAGAGAAATATTTCTTGCTCCTCCACCCTCCCCAATCTGTTATCTTGTTTGCAGGAACTGCTGAAATGAAACCAGGACAATAGAGTGGTAAAAAATGGAGTATCAGAAAGTCAGGAAAAAGTGGCATTGAAATGAGGATAAAGTCTGAGGCTTGTGATGCATCATGGGATCATTAATGGAACACAAGAACTTGTAACATCTGGTAGTGTCATTCCCTCAAGGATGTCAGAATATGAATATGCAATAATAAATAGATCAGTTATATAATAAGGCAGTGTGTTGAACATGCATTCATCTTGTGGCCTGGAATGCCACAGAGAGATACATGATACCATACACATTCATTAAGTGTTTTTTTTTCAAGGCTATCCAGGCTAACTCTTCCAGAGTATTTCCTTGGTGAGAAGAGCAATCCTCTGAGGCTTGTCACTTTTCTTCTCCATCAAGAGATGATGACTGGTTTTAACAAAACAAAACAAAACAATAAAGCAGAAGAGAGTTGGTGGATTTTTTTAGTGTGCCATTTTGGCTGCATCATTCTGAATGTTTTATTTAGTTGATTTAAAAAAAAATGTTTTAAAGAGCAGTCTTGATGCAGCCCAGAGCGATGTCCTCAGGATGCTCCAGATGTTTCCAGATAACTCTGTAGTTTTCTGACTGTGGTTTTGTCCAGTGAGCAAAGGTCAAAGTCAAAGGTTGTGTTTGTGATGTGAAAATGTCCTGTTTCTTCTATAAGGTTTACAATCTGTCATTAAAAAAAAACAAAACAGTAAGATTACATTTATAAACTTAAACTCTGGATTTCTCTTAGGATGGTATGTTAAGAAAAATACTGAATGCACTTCCTCACATGTAAGGACTATAGGTAAGAACTGACAACAGACTGCATTACAAGTTTTCATGAAATATGGCAGATCCATTTTCCATATCATTTCCCAAGATGAATCCTTTTGTTCTAAATTCCTTGGTTTTCATCACCTGCTGACCTATCTTCAGGAGGAGTATGCTGGAAATGTTACTAAATTTTAAACTTCTTCTAAGCCAGTGGTCCCCAACGGTTTTCAGACCATGGACTGGTTGAGGGGTGAGGGCTCCGTGTGGGGACAAAAAAGGGGGGACAAAGGCAACAAGCCCGGCCCACCCCCCTCCACTTCCAGTCCAATCCACTCTCCCTCCCTCCACGCGAACACCAGAAACTCCTCAGTGCTGTGCTGCCCCCCTGCAGAGATGACCCCCCGTGCCCTTCTGCATGTGTGTCTGCATGCCCCCTCCCCATCCCGCAGTGGACGGGACGGCTGCTCTCCAGGAGACAACCTCCTTTCAAAAAAATTATAATACTGGGATGGAACAAACGGTCCTCCCCGGGGCCCCAGCCTCCAAGAAAGCACCTGGCTCTCCAGGTGCAAAAATGATGGACAAAAAGGCATCGGCAGCAGCAGCAGGGCAGTGAACGGGCAGAGGAACCAGGACGCATGGGGTACTGAGGTGGCCGTTTCTTTCTCTGCCCTGAGGGAGAACCGCCCCCAAGGCAACGGTGGGGTGAAAGGCAAGAAAGAAGGAGGAAAGCCACCACAGCACAACACTGAGGAATCCCCAGCACTCGCAAGGAGGGAGGGAGAGCAGACCAGACCGAGAGTGGCCGGGCCCACCCCACCCCATCCCCCCTCAATGGGACCTGCCCTCAGTGTTCTCCTGTCGAGCACCTCAAGGGAAAGGGGGTGGAAAACCACAGGGGATAATCACACCAACAGTGTGTGGGTTGGGGATGTGCTGCCCGCCGAGTGCTCCTCCCTCACCCCCTCTGAAACTCACATTCACAGGCCCCCCGGGGGGAGACCATGCTCTGTCCCCACGCCCACCCCCACCGGACCAGGGAAAAGGCGGCTCCAGTCAGTGGGGGGGGGGCTCAAAAGCTCCTTTGTCACCTTGTGCTGTGATAGACAAAAGGAGTGGAGAGGGGCGGAAAAGAGCACAACGCCTGGTGGCAGAGGAGACACTGGGGCATCCACTGCTTTGCGATTTCGTCGTTATACGGTGCGCTCATTAAGCGAGGCACCACTGTATTTTGTGAGATTTTTCTGATCTGCCATCCTGCTGGTGCTTTAATGCAAAGAGAATGATGCTATTTTATGGAACTGTCTTGTATAAACAGGCCAAGATCTTAAAACACACACACACACACACACACTTTTTTTGGATTACAACTCCAAAAGCCCTTCAGCCAGCACATCCAATTTGTTTATATCTTAAGTGGCTTAAAGGAACCTCATTAAATGTAAGCAGCTCCAGCTTAGTATGTTACAATACCAACATTAGAAATGATTATTATTTATTTCCTAGAATATGGGGGTTGATGATTCCTTCTCATTGCCAGTGAAGGAGTGTCTTGGGAGGAAATGAATAACATGTGTTCTAAAATGTGCCACTGAAGCCAGTAGCATGGAATATGTCCCAAAATAGTAAAAGTTGAAAGCATCCTTCTGTCACTGTAATTGTTTAACCTACTGTTCGATATCCATTTGTCACACAGGCCAGAAGTCCATTGTGTTAAGAAATACCAAAATCAAAAAAAGATTCCCTGTTATCTAAAGCGATGCTGCACATAAATGTCCTCTCCACTGGGTCATCCAAATCAGTATCAGATTTTTGCCTTGTCTGCTACAGTGTCACCCCTCCTTTCTTTTTAGCCCTATTCAGGCATTATCTAGTGTCATTAACAAAGTGTACAAGGAGTAGATCATGCTACTTCTCCCATTACTATTTCAGTGGTGTTCTATGTGTGAGAAGTGACCATCTAAGGAGAAGGATGTAAGGCTCATCATGCTTTTCCAGGGTTCTGAAATGCATGCAGACTGCCATGAATGAGCTTCTCCTCTTCAGACAATCATGTCTGAGGGATGCAGATAACAGTCTCCTTCTATTGTGTTAAATTAATGCACACAGACAATGTCAAAACAGTTATTCTGGCCCAGTGCATCACTGAAATTAAATTAGGTAACCGAATCATGGAATAATGGATTTGCAAGGGGCCCATAAGGCAAACAAATCCAAGTGTTTGGTATCAGTAATGGACTGGATGAGGGTGAATAAATTGAAACTTAATCCAGACAAGAAAGAGATGCTCCTGGCCAGTCCAAAGGCAGATCAAGGAATAGGGATACAGCCACTACTGGATAGGATTACACTCCTATTGAAAAAAACAGGTGCACAGCTTAGAGGTATTCCTGGATTCATCCCTGAACCTAGATGTCCAGGTCTTGGGGGTGGCCAGGAGTGCATCTGCACGGTTTAAAACTAGTGTGCCAGCTATGATAGTTTCTTGCAATCTGATCTAGTCACTGTGATGTATGCCCTAATTACTTACTCTCTGGGTTACTGTAATGTGCTCTATGTGGAGATGCCCAGGGAAAGTGTCAGGAAACTTCAACAGGTCCAAAATGCAGCAGCTAGATTACAGAATGGGGCTGGTTATAGGGATTACATAATCCCACTGTTACAGCAGATCTACTGGCTGCTGATCAGTTACCGGGCACAATTTGTGTTATAAAGCCCTAAATGGCTTGGATTCAAGCTCTATCAAAGACTGTATATCACACTATAAGCCAGCTCGGATGTTAAGATAATCAGGATAGGCCTTTCTTTCAGCCCCACCACCTTTGCAGGTGTGTCTGATGGGGGAACAGGAGACAGTCTTCTCTGTTGCTGCACTCAGAATTCCCTCCCACAGGAGGCCAGCCTGGCCCCATCTTTGCTATCAAGTCCAACTTCTTGAGGGATGCAGGAATACAAATCAAAGGACATCTGCCAGGTGGCTGTCTACTTTTTTCTTGAATGCCTCCAGTGTTGGAGCACTCACCACCTCTCAAGGCAACTGATTCCACTGTCATACTGCTCTAACAGTTAGGAGGTTAGGAGGTTTTCCTGATATTCAAGTGAAATCTGGCTTCCTTTAACTTGAGCCAATTGATGAATGTCCAGCAAACTGGGATGACCGAGAACAGATCCTGCCCCTCCTGTTTGACAGCTTTACAAGTCTTTGAAAAGTGTTATCATATTGCCCCTCAGCCTTCTTTTCTCAAGGCTAAACATGCCCAATTCTTTCAGCCTTACCTCTTAGGGCTTGGTTTCCATCACCCTTATCATCCTTGTTGCCCTCCTCTAAACTTGTTCCAATTATCTTCTGGAAGTGTGGACACAAAACTCAAGGAGAAGCCTAACCAGTGCTGAATAGAGGGGGACTAGCACCTTGCGGGATTCGGGAACTATACTTCTGTTAATGTAGCCTAAAATAGCATTTGTCTTTTTGTAAACACATCAAACTGTTGGCTCATATTTAGCTTGTGATCTAAGATGATCCCAAGATCCTTCTCGCTCGTAGTTTTATTAAGCCAGGTATCCCTCATCTTGTACCTGTGCATTTGGTTGCTTTTCCAAGGTGCAGTACTTTGTACTTATCCCTGCTGAATTTCATTCTGTTGTTTTCAGCCCAGTACTCCAGCCTACCCAGAGCATTTTGAATTTTGTATATGTCTTCCAGGTTATTAGCTATTCAAATAAATTTTGTGTCATTCTCAAATATGACAAACATTCCCTACACTCCCTCGTCCAAGTCATTAATGAAAATGTTGAAGAGTACTGAACCCAGGACTGAGCGTTGTGGTACCCACTTGTTACCTCCTCCCAATTGGAAGAGCAACGACTTCTTCCCAGCCATTATTCCTCCCAGTTGGAGAAGGAACCCTCCGAGTATGGATCTATACCCAATTTGTATCCACCTGACATCTGATTTATCCAGCCCACAAACCCAGTTAAGCTTGCTAATCAGAATTTCATGGGGTACTTTGTTAAAAGCTTTGATGAAGTCCAGATATACTCTGTCTACAGCATGCCCTCTGACTATCAGGGAGGTTACCTGATAAAATAATATCGTATTAGTCTGGCAGGATTTGTTCTTGATAAATCCGTGTTGGCTTCTAGTTTGTACCGTGTTATTTTCTAGGTGATTGCACAGTGACCGTTTTATAATTTGTTCCAGAATTTTCCCTAGGATTGACGTCAGATGGACTGGCCTGTAGTTCCCAGGTTCCTCCTTTCCCCTTTTTTATAGATTGGGACATTATCCCTCCTCCAATCCTCTGACATCTTACCTGTTTCCCATTATTTAAAGAAAATAATGGACAGTGATTCTGATAGTTCTTCAGCCAATTCCTTCAGTACTCTTGGGTACAGTTCATCTGGTGAAGATCTGGATATCTGAACTTATTTAAGGTGGCAAGGTATTCCTTGACTATTTGTTTATCAAATTCTAGCTGCAATCCTGTCCCCTCCACTTCCACTTCACATTTGTCTGGAGGCTCATAGTCTGTTTTATGGGAAAAGACTGAACTAAAATAGGAATTGAGCACCTTTGCCTTTTCTTTGTCCTCTGTTGTCATTTTTCCATCTCCATTGTGGAGCTGTGCCATTGTTTTTTTTTGTTTGTCTTTTGTTACTTGCATATCTGAAGAATGCTTTTTTATTGCTTTTGCTGTCTCTAGCTAATCTCAGTTGATTCTCAGCTTTTGCCCTCCTAATGCCATCCCTGCATATCCTTGCTACTTGTCTGTACTCTTCCTTGGTGAC